AGTGGCGTATCGCGTGGAAATGTAAAGCAGGCAAATACTCGTGACGTTCATTCTAAATGTGGAGGGGAAAACCGGAGTGTCCCGGAGACAAATCCACGCGACGACGGGGGAGAGAGAAACATGCCAACTCCAAATACACAGCGGGCGTCAGGGTCTGGCTCGAAGCCTTGACCTCCTGCATACCAGGCGAGGTCTTTAACATCTGACCTTTGGCCACTAATCTCAAAGCGTGCATCTACAGAGGCGCACGGAGCTGGTGGCTCCGCTGCACGTGGCTGCCTGTGGAGCAGCAGCGAGGGTTGGTGGGCGTCGTGGTGGTGCCATGCCGCGTCTCGCCAGCAGACGGCGGTACCGCATTAATGTGGACTCCACGTGTTGGCTGTATGCTGATAAGATCAGTGTTCTTCATTGCCAACCCCGCAGGCCACTGGCGGCTCCTGATGGCCTTTAGTGCGGCTCCCTGACGTGCGGCCCCCGACAATACATAACGTGTGAAAACAACACCCCTCAATCATTGTGCTGCTGTCAAAACCCCAACAATGGTTTCAAATGTGTGCCCCCCCCTCTCACTGATAACGTCTTATCGGCCACTGGGATCGAGTGTTGCCCCCTCCTTGCACGCGTGGGTTTTGTTCCTTCTGAGTGCTTCGGTGTCCGCCAGCATATAAACCGCAGAACACGGAGGTGCCAGGGGGGGGGGGGGGTAATTTGGATCCGGCTCACCGCCTGAATCTGCCTTTCCCGTGGTTCCTCCTCTCTCTCTCTGCACGAGAACGAGTGAACTGTGGCAGCGCCTGACACATTGAACATTGCATCATCATTGTAGCGGTGGGGGTTGTGTTGGGAGGGACTCCCACTCACTGCGAGTGCCAATGGAATTTGGCCTGGCCGAAAGCGGATTTCATGTCACGGCGAGTGCCAAACTCGGCACTCACTCCAGACTCGTATTCGCAGCCCGTAAATAGCTGGAGCAGTCAGCGGGCAAGATGGCCCTGGGCCACCAATCGAAAACAGAAGGGGGTCCCCTCCTTCCCTCCCTGGGTCCGGTGTCTCGCTCCCGACACGGGCTCCTGTTCGTCGACAAAGCCGCTGCACTGCCACGCTCCGCACGTGACCTCTCTGGCCCCGTTCTGATTGGCTGCGAGGGAGTCGGGGGGGGGGTGATCCCTTGCCCTGGCAATGACCGTGAACACCGCATTCTGATGGACCCGTGCATCATTCACACGCCTCCTTCCACATCATCATCAGCATCCTCGCCATCACCCTTGCTACTGATCGTCTCGATCATCATCTTCCTTTCGACCCCTTTTGCACGCCCTTCGGTTACAACACAGGGGACGTATCGTTTGCCAGAGTGTGCAGGGTGACCCATGGAGAGAGGTTGGTTCGGTGTCAATCGGCTCCTCTTGTACGACGGGAGACGCTTTTGTGTGACAGGGACGTCCGGTTTGGGGGGAGCCGCTCGATAGCGTCGAGTGGAGAAATGACATCCCCGATCCTAGCAGTTGACAACGAAGGGTGACACCTTAGGGATGAAGACGTAGACATCTAAGCTTGGCACGAATCAAGTGAAGATGTCCATACGGCGTCGAGATGTCTGCGAGCGAGTTTGTGGAGAGCGGGCGGCGAGGAGGCTTCCCGTAAAGGCAACGAAGATTGTATCGGGGCAGAGAAGCTCGCCTGGTGGAGTGAGGCTGTCGGAGAAACTGGTTGCGGCTTGACTGCTGCTCGGGACTGGTAGCTGTTGGTCAGTCGCAGCTGGGCGAACAGAGACAGGGGGGGCAGGCGACAGGACGACGGATGGTGGAGGCTCCTGCGGCTGCTGATGCCATCCCAGCTGGGGGCGGGGGGGGGGCCGTGTCAGTCGCCTGGTGGGTGACCTGGTGACGCGTGACGGCACGAGGTTGTCACTTGTTTGCCGCGTGCGAATGTTGTGACCATAAACCTGCTCTCGGCGCCTGTGTTGGTCGCCCCGTTGCTAGGGAAGCGAGAGTTTTAGTGCGGACGGGCACCGCGGGAGGCGGCGGCGGTCTCATCAGAGGGGAAGACGCTTCGCGTTCAAGGGTTCGGGCTGTGCACGGTGCCAGGGTAGGTGCGTCTAGCCGAGGGCAGTGCGCGTGTGTGAACACGGTCGTTGCATGGGGGGGCGGTGGCGTTGTGGTTAGCGCACTGCGCCACGAAGCAAACCCGTCGACCACAGTTCGATTTCCCACTCTCAGCCAGCTTTTGTGACTAATATCTAAACCCCATCCTGGGCCTCCCCTAGGTCGACTCAGTCTGAAATGAATACCTGGTGCGGTGTAAGAAAGCTGTCTCTGGTGTGGACCAATCCGTTTCAAAGTCAATGCATATATTATCAGAGGATTATTTTTGTTTGCATTCTAACCACAAGCATTGTGGTTATAATGTAGACATGATTCCTTGTAAAAGGTTTCAGTTTCGTTTTTTAACATCTTAACACCTGTCGTGTTGCCAGATGAAAGGGGAAACCCCTATTATCATCGGTGTATAAACATCAGCATTGGGGAGACAAAGGCGGCCGGGCGTGGTGTTGGCCACCCATCCCCTCGTGTGCCCGTGTCGGCCTTGACAGGCGCTAATCGCTAAAAACACTTGCCCCGACAGTCTGTTAGGGCTACCCGGGGGATCTTTGTGTTTACAAAAACGGGCAGAATCAGGGTCTTTATTTATCCTGGACGAATCCGATGAGCTATGAAGCTCTTTATCACAACGAGCGATACGCGAGTGCAGATGATAGGAATTGCGTGCAAGTGACTAAACAAAAATAAAGTGCATGAGTACAAGTTGATAAAGTACACCAAATCCTGCCGATTTTTCCCCTGATTCGCACGGTTGGCTTACGGATGTGCGAAACAACTTCGACATACAGTGCACACACAAGCTTGGGCAAGGCAGTAATGTCGTCTGAAGGGCAGACTCGGCAGACCTGTGCGATCTCGTCAGCTGGCACCAGAACCGTCCTTAGCGGGGGGTGCGGGGCCCGGGGCAAACCCCCACAGCGTGGGCCCCCGACGCCTTCATACCTACACCGTGACGTCGAGGCGCGCCACCCCCCCCCCCCCCCACAAAAAATCGCGGGGCCCGGGGCTGCCGCCCAGATTCACCGTTACTATAAGGACGGTTCTGCCTGTTACCGACATGAACATAAACATGGGCGCGTGGCGCGCATTGAACATGGGGCCTTGTTAATACCTGGACTGCAACTCAACTGAAATATCGTCTGCATTGCCGCGGAAGTCCGCTGCTGCTGCTGCCGCTGCTGCCGCTGCTCCTGCTGCCGCTGCTCCTACTCCTGCTGCTGCTCCTGCTGGTGCTGCTCCTGCTGCTGCTGCTGCTCCTGCTGCTGCTGCTGCTCCTGCTGCTCCTGCTGCTGCTGCTGCTGCTCCTGCTGCTGCTGCTCCTGCTGCTGCTGCTCCTGCTGCTGCTCCTGCTGCTGCTGCTCCTGCTGCTGCTGCTCCTGCTGCTGCTGCTCCTGCTGCTGCTCCTGCTGCTGCTCCTGCTGCTGCTGCGGTGGTGAGGATGGCGGTGTAAATCTCATTGACTCTTGGCGCTGCCGAGCGAGCGCCTTGAGGCCCCTGTGGGCTCTGCGTGGGGGGCACGGCCTGGCAGGGCCACGCGTGCGGCAGCCTGGCCTCAGCAAGCTGCAGAGAGACTCGCGGTCGTGGGGGGGGGGGGGGGGGGCACTTGGCACTGGTGTTGGAGAGCGAGCAAGTCAAAGTTAGTTTTGTTTACCAAGGAGAGACCGAGACGAGTCTCCATGGGCCCATTTATTGCCGTAATCAAAATGATGCTAAAACGATGAGAGACTTTCACCCTGCCCTTTCTGGCAATATTGCACAGGAGGTGTTAAGATGTTTACAGCAAGGCCGTAGCCATGGAGTCAACATTGGGGGGGGACCAAATCTTCCAGGGGGTCTGGGGGTCCCAACCCAGAAAAATATCTAAATTTGAAAACTCATTTCCTGCCTTAAATATAAAAAAATCACTTACACATGAGATGGACTTTTCATTTATGTTTTACAATAATGTTTAATAGTGTATTGTATTACATTGCTCTGTTTTTACTTTTACCATTGTATGCAATGGCAGAGATTAGGTATTAATAAAGTACAACCATAACCACAATCATATGAACATAAATCTATGCATTGATTTATATGAAGACACGTCCAGATATTGTGGCCAAGGTTTAGCAACATTTCTTTTTTTACATAGCATAGTAATTATTTTTATAGCAATATATTGGGGGGGACATTTTGATCATATTTGAATATGGGGGGGATGCGTCCCCCCCAATATATATTATAATTACGGCCTTGGTTTACACCAAGTAGACACCCCCATCGCAAGGCATCGTCAAGTCTGCATGAACCACACATCATGCTTGTGGGTAGAACCATGCAAACACACAAACATGCTTTCGAATAATGCATGCGTTGTCTTTGTGACTGACCGATCTGCACCGGAGCCAGCCTCCTCCACGGCCTTGTCCCCTGCACCGCACTTGGAGCACTTGGAGCAGCAACAAAGGCATCGCAAATATCCAATCGTCGATAGCTCGGGTCGAGGGGCCCGTAGAGATTCGTCTCATTCGCGAGAGTAACCCGGGTCACCAACAAGACACGCGCAGCAGCGGCGACAAACAACAGACGATTCCACAACGCAGCGAATAGAGATGGGAGAAAATTGTTTTTGTACTTTTAAATACTTTGGGAAAATCAAGGAACATATTAATAAATGTCGGTGTGTGGGGGGTGGAGGGGGGGGCTAGGTTCGGGTGATTATAATTGAACGAGCGGCGACCCGCGGGGGCGCGCCTCCGCCCTTGACTTGACGCAGAGCGGCGTCGTTCGGAGCGGGCGGTGATAGGGGGTAGGAACACAACTACATCGGGGAGGCTGAGAGGCACAGCGGTGGGGATGAGTGAGGGGGGGTGCGAGCCTGTGGTTCGCGGGGGGGTAGTTGGTTACCTTGGAGGCGCCCAGCAACAGCGGGAGGGGCCGCGCGCTGCACCTGGGCGCGAGGCGCTGCGCATTTAAAGGCCCGCTCAGGTGTGGGCGCCTGGAGACTGCTGCTACTGCTGCTACTGCTGCTGCGACTGCTGCGAACACGCGGGTACCTCTCCACTGCTGCTGCTGCACGTGAGTTCGTGGATGTATGCGTGCCCGCTCCCCCAGCGAGACGTGCGAATGGAGACGTCCTGTGGTGGATGAGGACGACATTCCCAGTCACGCGCTGCAGGCGACGGGAAACAGACGGAGACGTGTGGATGAAGCCGTGGGCGTGTGTGGTGTGTGCGTGGTGTGTGTGTTGTGTGTATGTTGTGTGTGGGTTGTGTGTGTTGTGTGTGTGTGGTGTGTGTTGTGTGTGTTGGGGAGCGGTGGTGTAGCGGTTAGCGCACTGCGCTATAAACCTGGCAGTTCCGGGTTCGATTCTCGCGCACGGAACCGGTCCTGGGCCTCCTCCCCTATGTCGACTCAGCCTCAAATGAGTACCTGGTGCGGTGTGTAAACATCGCCACTAGGGAGACAAAGGCGGTCGGGCGAGTTGCTGGTCACCCACCCCTCGTGTACCGTTCCGGCCTTCGAAGGTGCTCGCTTACAACACTTGCCCCAACAGTCTGGTTAAGGATATATTGGGGGATCTTTGTCTTTTGAGTGTTTTATGGCGGGGTACTGTAAAAGTTCATTTACAGGACTGTATTTACAAGTGGTGGTGCTGCTGCTGCTGTTGCGTTGACAGTGGTGCACGATTAATAACAATAACGCAAACAACCTCAACATATTCCTCAATGATAGCTCTGTGTGTGGCCTTAAGAGAAAATTGTATATCTGTTCAAAAATAAGGGTTTGATTTTTCAAAGGATGGCGATTCAATAATGAAGGAGATGTCGCTAAGGGGGCGGCGACCGCACACAAAGACAAAGGGGTCCCCTATAGCCTTCCGCGGACTGTGGGAGGCTATAGGGGAGGCCCACGACCGGTTTCGGGAATTGGTCACCGATGTTGGCTGTGCGCGGGAAGTCGAACTCAGGTGGCTGAGGTTCGTGGCGCAGTGCCCTAACCACTACGCCACCGCTCCCCACCACGGCACACACACAAAAATTCCCCGTATAGCCGTGCCCGACTTTTAGGGCAAGTGCTGCTCGCAAGTACCTATGAAGGCCGGCATGGCACGCGAGTGGGTGGGTGGCCAGAACCATGCCCGGCCGCCTTTGTCTCCCTAGTGGCGATGTTTACACACCACACTTGGGAGACAATATCGGTCGATGCTTACACATCGCCACTCCTCATTTGAGGCTGAGTCAACCTAGGGGAGGCCGGTTTAGATAATCGTCACTGGCGTTGTCCGTGAGCGCGAATTGAACTCGGGTCGCCGGGTTCGTATCGCAACGCGCTAACCGCTACGCCACCGCTCCCCCACCGCTCCCCCACCTCCCGCACACACACACACACCCGCGCGTACACACACACAGACAAAGATTTCCCGTATAGCCTTACCAGACTGTTGGGGCAAGTGCTGTTAGCGAGCACCTATGAAGGCCGGCATGGCACGCGAGGTACTCATTTGAGGCTGAGTCGACCTAGGGGAAGCCCAGGACCGGTTTAGATAATCGCCACTGGTGTTGGCCGTGAGCGGGAATCGAACCCAGGTTGCCGGGTTCGTAGCGCAGCGCGCTAACCGCGACACTACCGCTCCCCCACGCACACAGACACGCACCCAGACACACACACACACGGACGTTATTTACGACGGGAGGGGGGGTGGGATGAGGGCGAAAGTCCAGCGAGAAGTCCGCTCGTCGCGAGGGAGACGCGGAGACTCAATGGCGCTCTTCCCTCGCAGATCGCTCGCGCGGAGATGGCCGACGGGGTGGACATGGCGTCCGTCGAGGAGACGTTCAGGAGGTTTGCCGTGCACGGCGACACGAAGGCGAGCGGCAAGGAGATGAACAACAAGAATTGGGCGAAGCTGTGCAAGGACTGCAAGGTGATCGACGGCAAGGGCGTGACGGGCACGGACGTGGACATCGTCTTCTCCAAAGTCAAGTTGTGTGACTCGCGCTCGCATCGTTTCCATCCCACTCGTCCCCCTCGTCCCGGTAGCCGGCAAGTGCCGTCGGCGAGACAGCTACGACACTCGCACGAGAGGGTCGGGGTAGGTGGCCAGCAGCATCAGGTCCGGCCGCCTTTGTCTCCCCAAAATGATTGTGTTTTACACACCGCACCGGGTGCTCGTGAAAGGCCGAGTCAGTTCAGTTCATGTATTAGGTATAGCCATGTGAGCCATGCGGCTCTTGACTCGGGTGCAACCGCAACAAACAAAAACATGAACAAGGAACATCTTGAGAAAAATCTAGGAAAAAACAGCAAAGTCTTCCAGAAAGAACACCGCATATCAACGCTGTGTGCAAAATTCCCAGTGGGATGCAAGTCAAACAATAACAACCATAAGACAATTTAGATTAAAGTTGTCAGGCTAACTCTGTACTTCAACAAACAAACTTGGCTAAACCTAAACGTTTTCGAAATCACCAAAATAAAGCTCTAAAAACAATGTAACAGTGATCATAGGAACTGTGATTCAAATTTTACAATAAATGATATACGACCCATCTTTGCAGCCATAGCTAGCAGCAGGAGTCACTCCATAACAGCAGGAGTATCAGCAGGAGTATCAATATTTTTCAATACATCTTTAAAGATCAGCACACTATAATCAAAACTCAAGATCATACTTTGCAGCGGTCATCCGGAGCGATGCATTTGATTTCAGGCCACTCTGCATCGCAGTGGCAGCTCGGGGTGTACAGCTCCTGAAGAGAAGTTTTGAGTGAAGATCTCACAGGTAGTGATCCAATTTGCAGTTTATTGGCGAAGGCATTCCCAGACCCTGGGGGCATCAACAGCAAAGGCCCTTCATCCAGTATTTGTACGGCAATAAGGAATGTGAAGCTGGTAAATGAGCGAAGACCCGAGGAGATCCAACAAGTAGTCTGCTGATTTTTTTTGTAAGTACATCGTGAATAAATAAGATCTGTTGCACAAGCCGTCGATCATTAAGAGATGTTAAGTTTGACCCAATGTAAAGATCGCAGTGGTGGGTTCTATATGGGCAGTTCAATGCAAATCTTAAGGCCGAGTGATTAATTGAGTCAAGCTTCTTCAGTACAGTACTGGGGGCTGATTTATATATGATGTCAAAGTAATCAAGTAGAGGAAGTATGGTAGCTTTTATCAATTCCAAACAGAACATAGGGGGCGAGCAATGCTTGTGTCGAAACATATTTTTTTTGTCTTTTTACCAATATAACCAATGTGATCTTGAAAATTCAGTTTTGAATCAAAAATGACCCCAAGATACTTATAGATCTTGACTTGCTCTATTTGATAATTATTTAAGGAATGTAATTGGGGAAAATAACTTCCTGCTTTAGTCCTGGTGAGAAGCATAGGCAATTGGTTTTGGAGATATTCAGGACTAGTTTAAGAGCAACTAGCTGATGTTGTAGTTTGTTGAAATCACCCTGGAGCTTAGCAATCACGTCATCCGGAGAGCGGCCAGCAGTCATCAATATCGTGTCATCTGAAAACAGATTAACCCTGGAATGATCCAGGTCAGTGCCCAAGTCATTGACATGAAGAGAAACCAAGAGTTGGCCAAAGATTGAACCCTTTGGAACCCCTTTTGTGATCTTAACATTGTTTACCTCCAACCATCTATGAAGACAGTTTGGGTGCGAGAAGAGAGGTACATTTGTTAACCATTCTACTGTGTGTTTGGAAAAACGGAGGCAACTTAGTTTACTAAGCAGGTTGTTGTGTAAATGTGATTGAGAGAGTCTAATGCAGCAGATGTGGTGCTATATTTTTTTCGGAACCCAGATTGGTTTCGATGTAAAAGATTATTGTCGGACAGGAAACTGCTAATTTGGTCGTTCAATAATTAAAAAAACATTTTAATCAACGGGGACAAAATTGAGATAGGTCGGTTGTTATTTGGATCATCTTTAGGGCTCCCTTTGTGAAGTGGACGACTCGATCTCGGGGAGGCCACGACCGGGTTCGGAAATTGGTCACCGATGTTGGCTGTGAGCGGGAAGTCGAACGGCCTCCCTAGGCAGCGGAGTTGACGACGCTGGCAGAGTTGACACTGCCGGTCTAGGGATCGTGTCCTTTGCTTGTCCAACTGCTCGGGTTGAGGTCTCATTTGAGGTTTAAACTTTTTTTGTGCCCAAACGCCACGTCGACCAACTCCAGCGGTCCTTCGCCTCTCGTGAGTTGAATCACCCCGTGCTGCACCGCGTGCTGTACCCCCCCCCCCCCCGTGCTGCACGAGAGATTCGCACCGCGTTCCCAGTTCCGTCCTGGCATCGTTTGCGGTGACCAAGCGGTCGCTGCGGCCGCTGGCGAGATAACCGCGAGGTCGTTCGGGACACGAGGAGGTCACGAGGGCGAGGAACTCGTCCAGCAGTGGCTGGTGGAGGGGGACGCGGCCGCCGTGCCCGCGGGTCCTGGGACCGCCTCCACGTCGTGCCCATCCACTGCCCCCCGGCACGTGCCGGGTGACGCGACGACTCAACAAAATGTGACCCCACCCCCCCCCCCCGGGTGCGCGCTCGCAGGGCCAAGTCGGCTCGCACCATCACCATCACCGAGTTCCACGCCGCGATCGCCGAGCTCGCGCCCAAGCGCTTCAAGGGGCGGAGCGCCGAGGAGGCGCTGTCCGCGCTGCACGCGCTCCTGGCGGGGGCTGCTCCGGCCAACACCGGCGTCACGGTAAACCGCACTGCCCCCCCCCCCCGCCACCAGCCCCCCCCCCCCGCTCACGGTCGGAGCCCACGCCCGCGTGCACTCGTCGCGCACGGCGAGCGGCGTGCGATCATCCCACGCACTCACCAACGAGAGGGACAGAGGCTCGTGGCCGCGGGTCGATGATTCCCCGTGACCCCCCCCCGCCCTCCCTCCCCCCCCTAAGCGCCACCCTTTGGTCCCCGCGTTGTCCCGGCAGAAAGCGGCGGCGGTGGGCGGCGTGGATCGGCTCACGGACGCCTCCAAGTACACGGGCTCGCACAAGGAGCGCTTCGACGCGGACGGCAAGGGGAAAGGCAAGTCGGGTCGCGCCGACGCCGCGGCGAACTCGGGCTACGTGGGCAACTACAAGGGCGTGGGGACCTACGGCGACAAGGTGGCCAAGTGAGCGGGAGCGCCCCCAGCCCCCGCTCTCCTCCCCCCCCCGCCTCTAAATGCCCCTACGCTCCTTCACAGACACCCACCGCTGTGAAGAAAGAGCTTCATAGCTCATCGGATTCCTCCAGTCTAAATAAAGATTCTGATACCGATCCACAGGCGCCAACTATGCACCTCACCGCGCCCCACCTCACCCTCCCAAGGGCCCCCACAGCCACGCGCGTGCACGGGTGACACGCACGCGCACGGGTGACACGCACGCGCACGGGTGACACGCACGCGCATGGGTGCCACGCACGCGCGCGGGTGACACGCACGCGCACGGGTGACACGCACGCGCACGGGTGACACGCACGCGCACGGGTGACACGCACGCGCACGGGTGACACGCACGCGCACGGGTGACACGCACGCGCACGGGTGACACGCACGCGCACGGGTGCCACGCACGCGCACGGGTGACACGCACGCGCACGGGTGACACGCACGCGCACGGGTGACACGCACGCGCGCGGGTGACACGCACGCGCACGGGTGCCACGCACGCGCGCGGGTGACACGCACGCGCACGGGTGACACGCACGCGCACGGGTGACACGCACGCGCACGGGTGACACGCACGCGCGCGGGTGACACGCACGCGCACGGGTGCCACGCACGCGCACGGGTGACACACACGCGCACGGGTGACACGCACGCGCGCGGGTGACACGCACGCGCACGGGTGCCACGCACGCGCGCGGGTGACACGCACGCGCACGGGTGACACGCACGCGCACGGGTGACACGCACGCGCACGGGTGACACGCACGCGCACGGGTGACACGCACGCGCACGGGTGCCACGCACGCGCGCGGGTGAAACGCACGCGCGCCATTGTTGAGGAGCGGCGGTGTTGCTGGCCACCGTTGCACGAGCGAGCACTTTGAGACGGTGGGGGCCGTGAGCGGCACGGCATCTGCCCCGAACGCAACCTCCGCGTCTCGCTCGGAATGACCCGGATTGGTTCGTTGAGCTTCGAGCATGTTCGCTGAAGTCAAACAATTCAAAGAATCTCACGATGCCCGGCAGAGATAAGGCGTCGTCGAGTTTCCAAATGAGATAGAGACAGAGCAAAGATTAGACGAGCAGTGAGTCCGTGTGCGCGCGCGTGTGTGTGTGTATCAGTGTGTGCGTGCGGTGTGTGTCAGTGTGTGCGTGTCGGTGTGTGTGTGTGCATTGGCGCGTGTGGAAGTAAGAAAGGAGGAGCGATAATCACAGGGTGCGTGTGAGAGTTGACAAGTGTGTGCAGGCGCGTGTGTAAAAGAGAGCACATGCGAGTTTGCATGCGTGCAAGAGAATGTCTGTGTGTGTGTGTGTGATTGATTCTGTGCCATAACGCCGGCGGCATCATTGTCCTTGTGACCCTCTGGCCGCAAGCGAGCCCTTCGATGATGGTGAAGTGGTGGTGGTGGTGAAGGTGGAAGAGGCTTGTGAAGGATGCTCCTGGGCAGTTGGAGGCAGTCGCCCTTCAGCAACAACGGAGGGCAGAGGAGCGATGCTCACAACAACGAGCGGAGCGCCGGGCGATTAAAATTCTGCAAGTTGGCACAGTGGTAGGCACAGCTGGTAAATCTACCAGTCATCTCAGTCAGCCAGCTCATGGCACCTGGGTCTGTCCCGGGACCTGTCAGCGAGCCTTTGACATTTCGCGTGGCCTCAAAGCGCACCTAGCCTGGCACAAAGCGCTGTGGTGACGTCACCGCCACATAAGTGTGCCCTGTGGTCAGTGCATCTGTAGAATGGGACGAGACGAGCAATAAACTATTATTTTTATTTTACCAGGTAAGGGCCCCATTGAGCTAGATCGTAAAAAAATTCAGAAGCAACCTGGTAGCTCAACGAAGTGGCTCATCATCATCATCACGTGTACATTTATAGCAGCCAAATACTGTTAGACACGTGACGTTGATTCGAACAGTGCCCTGGAAGCGGGATTGATTTCATGACACTGGATTTGTTCGTGACCCCGACACTTGAATGAGCTCTCACCGCGGTCACGTGACAAAAAAGAAACCCCTTCCACCCCGTGACCGGGATCCTTGGCCGATTCAGACCCCCCCCAATATCCTCTATCCCAACCTTGTCATCTCAAAGTCGTGATCCGCGTGGCCGTGCGCGGCGTGAACAATGCTCAGACAATGCGCCGCGTTCCTTGGATCTCACGTTAACGCGACACCGTTTCAATTACCCGCGGTCGTATCTGGTGACATTGCATTGATATTAAATACACCACTGGAATATTATAATGCGAGGTGTGGTTCTGTGTGTGTTTCTTGCCGAGTCTGTGTGGGTGGTGTGATTCAGTGTGTGTGTCTTGCCAAGTCTGTGTGGGTGGTGTGATTCAGTGTGTGTGTGTGTATCTTTGCCAAGTCCACGTGGCTGGTGTGATTCAGTGTGTGTGTGTATCTTTGCCAAGTCTACATGGGTGGTGTGATTCAGTGTGTGTGTGTTTCTTGCCAAGTCTGCATGGGTGGTGTGATTCAGTGTGTGTGTGTTTCTTGTCAAGTCTGTATGGATGGTGTGATTCAGTGTGTGTGTGTTTCTTGCCAAGACCACGTGGCTGGTGTGATTCCGTGTGTGTGTGTTTCTTGCCGAGTCTGTGTGGGTGGTGTGATTCAGTGTGTGTGTGTGTTTCTTGTCAAGTCTACATGGGTGGTGTGATTCAGTGTGTGTGTGTTTCTTGCCAAGACCACGTGGCTGGTGTGATTCAGTGTGTGTGTGTTTCTTGCCGAGTCTGTGTGGGTGGTGTGATTCAGTGTGTGTGTGTGTTTCTTGCCAAGTCTACATTGGTGGTGTGATTCAGTGTGTGTGTGTTTCTTGTCAAGTCCACGTGGCTGGTGTGATTCAGTGTGTGTGTGTTTCTTGTCAAGTCCACGTGGCTGGTGTGATTCAGTGTGTGTGTGTGTTTCTTGCCGAGTCTGTGTGGGTGGTGTGATTCAGTGTATGTGTGTGTTTCTTGCCGAGTCTGTGTAGGTGGTGTGATTCAGTGTGTGTGTTTTTCTTGCCAAGTCTACATGGGTGGTGTGATTCAGTGTGTGTGTTTTTCTTGCCAAGTCTGCATGGCTGGTGTGATTCAATGTATGTGTGTTTCTTGCCAAGTCCACGTGGCTGGTGTAATTCAGTGTGTGTGTGTTTCTTGCCAAGTCTACATGGGTGGTGTGATTCAGTGTGTGTGTGTTTCTTGCCGAGTCTGTGTGAGTGGTGTGATTCAGTGTGTGTGTGTTTTTCTTGCCAAGTCTACATGGGTGGTGTGATTCAGTGTGTGTGTTTTTCTTGCCAAGTCTGCATGGCTGGTGTGATTCAATGTATGTGTGTTTCTTGCCAAGTCCACGTGGCTGGTGTAATTCAGTGTGTGTGTGTTTCTTGCCAAGTCTACATGGGTGGTGTGATTCAGTGTGTGTGTGTTTCTTGCCGAGTCTGTGTGGGTGGTGTGATTCAGTGTGTGTGTGTGTTTCTTGCTGAGTCTGCATGGGTGGTGTGATTCAGTGTGTGTGTGTGTTTCTTGCCAAGTCTGCATGGCTGGTGTGATTCAATGTGTGTGTGTTTCTTGCCAAGTCCACGTGGCTGGTGTGATTCAGTGTGTGTGTGTTTCTTGCCAAGTCTACATGGGTGGTGTGATTCAGTGTGTGTGTGTGTTTCTTGCCGAGTCTGTGTGAGTGGTGTGATTCAGTGTGTGTGTGTTTCTTGCCGAGTCTGTGTGGGTGGTGTGATTCAGTGTGTGTTTCTTGCCGAGTCTGTGTGGGTGGTGTGATTCAGTGTGTGTGTGTGTTTCTTGCCGAGTCTGCATGGGTGGTGTGATTCAGTGTGTGTGTGTGTTTCTTGTCAAGTCCAAGTGGGTGGTGTGATTCAGTGTGTGTGTGTTTCTTGCCAAGTCTACATGGGTGGTCTGTTTCAGTGTGTGTGTGTGTTTCTTGTCAAGTCTACATGGGTGGTGTGTTTCAGTGTGTGTGTGTTTTTCTTGCCAAGTCTACATGGGTGGTGTGATTCAGTGTGTGTGTTTCTTGCCGAGTCTATGTGGGTGGTGTGATTCAGTGTGTGTGTGTTTTTCTTGCCAAGTCCACATGGGTGGTGTGATTCAGTGTGTGTGTGTGTTTCTTGCCGAGTCCACGTGGCTGGTGTGATTCAGTGTGTGTGTGTGTTTCTTGCCGAGTCTGTGTGGGTGGTGTGATTCAGTGTGTGTTTCTTGCCGAGTCTGTGTGGGTGGTGTGATTCAGTGTGTGTGTGTGTTTCTTGCTGAGTCTGTGTGGGTGGTGTGATTCAGTGTGTGTGTGTGTTTCTTGCCAAGTCTACATGGGTGGTGTGTTTCAGTGTGTGTGTGTGTGTTTCTTGTCAAGTCTACATGGGTGGTGTGATTCAGTGTGTGTGTGTGTTTCTTGTCAAGTCCATGTGGGTGGTGTGTTTCAGTGTGTGTGTGTGTGTGTTTCTTGCCAAGACCACGTGGCTGGTGTGATTCAGTGTGTGTGTTTCTTGCCGAGTCTGTGTGGGTGGTGTGATTCAGTGTGTGTGTGTTTCTTGCCGAGTCTGTGTGGGTGGTGTGATTCAGTGTGTGTGTGTGTTTCTTGCTGAGTCTGTGTGGGTGGTGTGATTCAGTGTGTGTGTGTGTTTCTTGCCAAGTCTACATGGGTGGTGTGTTTCAGTGTGTGTGTTTCTTGTCAAGTCTACATGGGTGGTGTGATTCAGTGTGTGTGTGTGTTTCTTGTCAAGTCCATGTGGGTGGTGTGTTTCAGTGTGTGTGTGTGTGTGTTTCTTGCCAAGACCACGTGGCTGGTGTGATTCAGTGTGTGTGTGTTTCTTGCCGAGTCTGTGTGAGTGGTGTGATTCAGTGTGTGTGTGTGTTTCTTGCTGAGTCTGTGTGGGTGGTGTGATTCAGTGTGTGTGTTTCTTGCTGAGTCTGTGTGGGTGGTGTGATTCAGTGTGTGTGTGTTTCTTGCCAAGTCTACATGGGTGGTGTGTTTCAGTGTGTGTGTGTGTGTTTCTTGTCAAGTCTACATGGGTGGTGTGATTCAGTGTGTGTGTGTGTTTCTTGTCAAGTCTGTATGGGTGGTGTGATTCAGTGTGTGTGTGTGTTTCTTTGCCAAGTCTGTATGGGTGGTGTGATTCAGTGTGTGTGTGTTTCTTGCCGAGCCCGCCTGCGTTGGTCAGGTTTGTGTGGGGGGGGGGGGGCTCTGGGACAGCTGCACGGAACGCCGCGATGTCGTGGCAACTTGAGCAAACAACTCCGGGCGCGTTCCTCGTTGCGCGCGGCAATTTGCGGGGGGGGGGTCGAGGCGCGAATCCCACACCGTGACCTGGCAGTCGTCTCGCCCGCGACGTCTATGAACGCTAAAACAAACAAAAACACACTTCAAAT